TAGATGCCTGCGAAACGGCTAATTGATTTTGTGATATTATTTAATCAAATAAATATTTGAATTTTAACATATATTTCTTAAGTATTTAATTTAATAATTAATGTGTTCATTTCTTAGTGAATATAAGTTTTTATTTATTTATCGAGAAACTAACATATTGCATATTTTATAGTTGTTACATATACCATATAATGAATAAAATTGAAAAAAAATGAGAAAAAACATTAATTATTTATTTAGTAATTATTTAATTCCTAGTTTTCACGGAACACTTATTAACTTTTGGGAAACCCAGGTTTAGCTCATGTTCTGTGAACTAACAACCACAAATGGTTTCAGTTTATATAAAAACCGGTTTTCAAATTTTCACAAATAATATATAAATATATCAAAATAAACTCTCTTTAAACAAAACTTAAAAACTTCTTTAATATTACATAAAACTATAACAAAATAAAAATGATGATATAGAAAACTATACAGATGAACGAACAGAATAACAAAAAATATAAAAAATATAACTAAATAAACTTCCTTAAAAACTTCTTTATTATTACATAAAACTATAAAAAAATAAAAATGACTATATAGAAAATTATGTAGATGAACGAATAACAGTAATTTATCTAAATGACTTTCTTCCTATTGAAAAATTGGACGTTCTTTGTTGGAGTAGTGTAATTGAAGAAATAATTTCTATTGTGTAGTATAAAATAAAAATTGGGGTCTATATCGAAATCTCGACAGTATCAAAATCACAACAACCATAATCTCGTAATAATAAAAATTTACTTCATTTGTAGGGGATTTTGATACTTTCGAGATTATGATTGTCGGAATTTTGATACTGTCCGGATTTCGATTGCCATTGATTTCATTGGTTGTTAGCTGCTTACACAGTTTTCCGTTTTATGTATGTTTATTATTAATCAAATATATAATTCATTTTTAAATTTTAAGTCTAGGCTCAAAAATTGGTTTAAAACAAAAACGGTTTTCAATTATATACATTTCTTAAAACAAACCGGTTTTCAGCAAACTAGTTATAAAAACTGTGAAACTCTAATTTTCAGATACTTTAGTTTAGTTGAATTTCCGGGAATATCGGAAAATAATATATTGGGCAGAATGACCTCGGTCGTTAGCCCTTTGGGCAGCCTAGAAGTATATATATTTTTATTGTATGTTAAAATTTATTTATGTATAAATTGTACTTTTTTTTTCTCTTCTTATGTATGAATGTTTGGCCAATAAATTATTATTATTATTCGGAAAATAAAAATAACAGTTAAAAAAATTTTGAGGTGAAAATTGAAAAAAAAAATACATACTAAGTACGTAAATTAAATAGGTTATGGGCTGTTTCAATTTTTTCAGCCATCGTTCAAAGGTAATAAAATATTATATAGTATAGTAATAGTTATACTTTCTATTTAGTAATGAGGTTTTTGGGGAAATTTTGCGAAATTTATGACCCTCTAGTTCGGACATTGAACATAAGGAGCGCTCTTCATTGATGCGCCCCACCAACAATAGCACCCCAAGCAACTGGTTAGTCTTTGGTACAGGTAGTTAGTAGAAGTTGGTAATCGCAAGTAGAATCATCTTCGGAACGAAATGCATATTCGTCAATGAACAACTCAGCAACGAGTTCACATTGACAAATCGAGAGCAAACTGTATACAAGCAGAAGTAATTCTGACTAGGTGCAAGAATCATTTTACCATTGGCGTTTTGAATTAACGCTTAAGCTGCGAATTATAATTGAAAGAAACAAAAGTAATGCTTGCGCTCTGAATCTTTAATTACGTTCTAATCATTAATCTTAGAATACTAAATAAAAGTTTACATATAAGTATATTACACTTGAGAAGTGCAAAGGAAACTTAATACTGCAGTATTATTTTATCGTCCTCGAAATAACAATATTTCTTATTATTTTGGAAGACTTTGATAAAATATGGGTCGCAGAAAATCGAAAAGACAAGCACCGACAAGGAAGAAGGCCATCGAACCGCTCGATCAGGAGTTCAACTGTCCGTTCTGCAATCACGAGCAGTCTTGTGAAGTGAAAATGTTAGTTTGATGGATTAAAATGTGCGAATAATATCAATAATAATTACGTTTGTTTTGTAGGGACAAGGGAAGAAATACGGCGAGAATATCGTGCAGAGTTTGCATGGAGGATTACCAAACGACTATAAACGTGCTCTCCGATCCTATCGACGTTTATAATGATTGGATAGATGCTTGCGAAACGGCTAATTGATTTTGTGAAATTATTTAACCAAATATATATTGAAATTGTAACTTTATTTTTTAAGCAATTTATTTAATAATTAACATGTTCTTTATTTAGTGAATGTAATTTATTATTTAATCGTACTGAATAAAATCATATTGAATAAAATTTTAATAAATGAGAAAAAACATTCATTAATTATTTAGTAACTATTTCATTCCTAGTTTTCATGGAACACTTATTAACTTTTGGGAAATCCTGGTTTAGCTCAAGTTCTGTGAACTAACAACAACCACAAATGTTCTCGACCAGTCGAACATCTTAATAACTCGAATTAAATAGTTGACTTAATAAAATAGAATCTATTAATATCTTTTTAGTTTATATAAAAACCGGTTTTCGAATTTAAACTTTTATACAAAAGCGGTATTCGAATTTTCACAAAAAATATAAACAAAATAAAAAATATAACTAAATAAACTTTCTTGAAACAAATCTTAAAAACTTCTTTAATGTTACATAAAACTATAAAAAAAATAAAAATTCCTATATAGAAAACTATTCGTTTATAACAATCATTTATCTAAATGACATTCATCCTACTTGAGAATTGGGCGCTCTTTTTTGGAGAAATGTAATTGAAGAGATAATTTGTATTGTGTAATATAAAATAAAAATTGGGGTCTATATCGAAATCTCGACAGTATTAAAATCGCGACAATCGTAATAATAAAAAAATACTTCATTTGAAGGGGATTTTGATACTGTCAGGA